TTTTGGCCGGATTTTGTACATAAAGTGTGTCTCGTCCCGTGACCCTTCGTCTCCTCTTCGCTCGCCGGTGTTTGTCTGAATAAAACATGCACGCCTAATTTATTCCATTTCGCGGGGCCTTTTAATTAAAGGGGCGCAGCAGCGAATGCAAATGAGGGGAACGAGCGCTCTGCCCCGGGCCCTGCCCAGTTCAAGGCTCCGATTTTTGCTCCTCGCTCGGATTTTAGGGAATTTCTCCCTCAGCAGCCGGAACACGCCGGCACCGCCGAGCCCCCGGGGGAAGGGGGGGGGGTTGGACGTGGATTTCAATATTCCAGGGAAAAACCCCGGGAGCCAAAGGCGGGACGCGCCGAGGCAGGAGTGGGGCACGGGGGAAAGGTCGGAGCTGCACCCGCTTCCAGCCCGTCCTGGATCCCGGACCCCGGGGCTGGGTCCCGGTGCCGGGTGTGGGACGGACCTGCACAAACCCCTGACGGGGGGGAAATAATTCCCAGGGGAGTCAGAGCGACCACACAGCTTGTTCGGGGAGCCCTGTCCCCCTGGGCTGTCCCAGCTGAGCCTCCCAGTCCTCCCAGTCCGCTCAGAGCACTGGTCACACTGGTTCAGGGGTTGGGTCTGGCACTGACACTCCCTCTGCTTTGGCTGCACACGGGTGGAGGGTCAAGTACAGGATCAGCTCCATGTACAGGATCAGCTCCAAGTACAGGATCAGCTCCATGTAGAGGATCCATGTACAGGATCAGCTCCAGCTCCAAGTACAGGATCAGCTCCATGTAAGGGATCAGCTCCAGGTACAGGATTAGCTCCATGTACAGGATCAGCTCTGTGTGTAGGATCAGCTCCATGTACAGGATCCATGTACAGGATCAGCTCCAAGTACAGGATCAGCTCCATGTACAGGATCAGCTCCATGGGCAGGATCAGCTCCGTGTACAGGATCAGTTCCAAGTACAGGATCAGCTCTGTGTGCAGGGTCAGCTCCATGGGCAGGATCAGCTCCATGTACAGGATCAGCTCCAAGTACAGGATCAGTTCCATGTGCAGGATCAGCTCCAAGTACAGGATCAGCTCCAAGTACAGGATCAGCTCCAGCTCCAAGTACAGGATCAGCTCCATGGGCAGGATCAGCTCCATGTACAGGATCAGCTCCAAGTACAGGATCAGCTCCAAGTACAGGATCAGCTCTGTGTGCAGGATCAGCTCCATGGGCAGGATCAGCTCCATGTACAGGATCAGCTCCAAGTACAGGATCAGCTCCATGTTCCACTCCACAGGAATTATGGTAGCCATCCCAATCCATAATTCAACACCCTGCTCTGAATTAGTTGTGTTTGTCCAGTGGACACAAAAAAAGACACTAAGAAAGAGAT